GTGCTTCAATGAGAGGCCTTCTTTTTCTTGAAAACGTTTCTTCCTTGAATAGACACGAAGCTCATCTTCGTTTTTACTTGGTTTCGCACACATGTCAGTTTTTGTGATGACAACTTTTCGTAAAACAAATTTGGAGAGAGGATGTTTGGTACATATACGAACACCTTTTCTATGAGCAAGAGGAATTTTAAGTGACTTATTAGACCTGGGAATATTACTCAAAAGGAATTTTACTTGATGATTTGAATGAGTTCAGTTTTTTTCTCAGGTCGGACTCTTGGCTGTGCTTCAATGAGAGGTCTTCTTTTTCTTGAAAATGTTTCATCCTTGAATAGACACGAAGCTCATCTTCTTTTTGGATTATTTTCATAAATACCCCCCGAAGTATGTACCTTGTTTTAAAATGCCCCCGATTTTTCAAAACAGGTCAAAACACCCCCTGATATATAGAAAATCATTCAAGATGTCCCCTTCATCCATATATGTGTATCATTTGGATGGAAAATGCATATGTGGCAGTTGAAATGAGTATTTAAAAGTTAATTAAAGATATTTAACTAATAAAAACCAATAATATTGAATATTAAATAAAATAAAGGATTAATTTCAAAAATTCCCCCCGAACTATGATCCTACGTGTAAGGTACATAACCCATCTGAGAAGGTACATAGTTCGAGGAGAAGTTTTAAAATTAATCATAAAATGAAATGACAGTATTAAAACAACAAGGGTAATTTGCACAAATGGCCCCCAATCTCTTTAGTAAGTGACAGTTTGGTCCCTAACTTTTTTTTTTTTTTTGGCAAAACGACCCCCAATCTCTTTAAACGGGTGCAATCTGGCCACTTATGTCAAATTTTTAACAGATTTCCGCATGTGAGCATCATGTGCCTTATTTTTTCAATTAAAAGACAAAAATGCCCTCTTTCTTCCACGGAAACCAAGAAAATTATAGCTTCCACAGAAACTTTTACATTTTCTTCTTGGATCTCTCTCTCTTCCGCATGTGAGCATCGTGAGGGTTTTGATCGAGTTTTGCCCTAATTGGAAAGGCAAACAGCCTAAAATGTAGAAGCTTTATGAGGAATTGAGCAAATCAGCCATGTGTTTCCGATGAAGACTAGACATCCGACGCAGAAGTCGGCCTGGGCGAGGATTATCAGAACGTCGCCGAGAATTCTCTCGAAGGATCCGCAGACAGCGAATCCCAAATAGCCGAAAGACACAATTTTGGAGAAGTCGGTTAGGGTTTCGAGATGGCGACATTTGTGGACGAGGATAATGGGTGAGAGCGGCGATGGGGGAGGGTGGTGAGCCAGCTGGTGCACTTGAAGGTGTAGGTAGGGGGCTGTGACGACAAGTGCTTGCCGTCGGCGATCAGAGCCGTGTCTTCTCTCTTTGCCGGCGGTGGAAGATCTCGGAGCGCGTTAGAGGACGAGCTCGCGCGGTCTCTGCCGAAACCTATGGCGGAGAATTCGTGGGTTTCAAGGGATTTTGGAAATTTGTTTTTATTTTTGTTGGGAAGAAAGAAACAAAGAAGATTGAATTGGATTTGAGTGATGAAGGAAAGAAAGGAAAGCAAGAGAAGAAAAAATCAACTTCTCTTCTTGTTGTTGGATTATTATTAGGAGAAATTAGTATATCTGATGATTTATTTATCCAAGAAAAATAGAGAAAATACAAGGAGGATATTATATATTTTTGAAGCCCTCAGTGCATTTTTGTCTTTTAATTGAAAAAAAGAAGGCACATGATGCTCACATGCGGAAATCTGTTAAAAATTTGACGGAAATGACCAGATTGCACCCGTTTAAAGAGATTAGGGGTCGTTTCACCAAAAGAAAAGGTTAGGGACTAAACTGTCACTTACTAAAGAGATTGGGAACCATGAGGCTTTATTGCGACAACAAAGCTGGCATCAGCATTGCACACAATCCGGTGCAGCATGACAAGATGAAGCATGTGGAAATAGACCGACACTTTATAAAAGAGAAGCTTGAGATAGGCATCATATGCTTACCATTGTCCCGACAACACAACAAATTGCAGATATCCTAACGAAAGGACTCCACAGACCGAAGCACGAATTTCTAATAAGCAAGTTGGGCATGATTGATATCTATGCACCAACTTGAGGGGGAGGGTCGAAAAGATAAGAGATAATTAGTTAGGGTTGATTAAGATAAATTTTAGATTATGATATGCTAAAGTCAAATAAAACAAATCTGTTTCAAACATATTCGTTATCCTAGGTTTAGATAAGTTTGAATTTGAATTTTATTAGGATAGATGTTATTGAGTGGATAGGATTTTATCCGTGACACTCCTAGGGCTATTTATACCTATTTTTACCGATTAAATGAATAATATATAGAAGAGTTTTTTCCCTTCAAAACTTACAGTTTTGGTGTTTTTTACTTGGCCTTTGAATGTTATTTGATTTTTGTGTCATTTTATATTAACTAATTGGGGTTTTTTTTATCAATAATTAAGGTTTGCATTTCAAATATTTTTTATTAACCTGTAATGGTATGCCATATTAGCAATCTGTTAAAATTATAGACGGAAATGGACGTAGGAGGAATTTTGAATCGTTTTGAAAAATAAGGGAGCATTTTGAAACTATTTACATACTTCAGGGGCATTTATGAAAATAATCCCTTCTTTTTTACTTGGTTTTGCAAGCATCTCAGTTTCTGTAATGACAACTATTCATAAAACGCATTTGGAGAGAAGATATTTGGTACATGTACGAATACCTTTTCTATGAGCAATAGGAATTTCAAGTGACTTATTAGACCTGGGAATATTAGACTCAGAAGGAATTTTACCTGATGATCTGAATGAGTTAGGTTTTTTTCTCAGGTCGGACTCTTGGATGTGCTTCATTGAGAGGCTTTCTTTTTTCTTGAAAATGTTTCTTCCTTAAATAAACACGAAGCTCATATTCTTTTTTACTTGGTTTTGCACGCATCTCAATTTTTGTGACGACAACTTTTCATGAGACACAAATTTGGAGAGAGGATATTTGGTACATGTACGGACACATTTTCTATGAGCAATAGGAATTTCAAGTGACTCATAAGAACTGAGGAATTAGACTCATAAGGAAATTTACCTGATGATCTGAATGAGTTCGGTTTTTTTCTCAGGTCGGCCTCTTGGATGTGCTTCAATGAGAGGCCTTCTTTTTCTTGAAAATGTTTTTTCCTTGAATAGACACGAAGCTCATCTTTTTTTTTACTTGGTTTTGAACACATCTCAGTTTCTGTGATGAAAACTTTACGTGAGACAATTTTGGAGAGAGGATGTTTGGTACATGTGCAGACACCTTTTCAATGAGCAATAAGAATATTTCAAGTGACTTATTAGACCCGGTATTATTAGACTTGGAAGGAAATTTACCTGGTGATCTGAATGAGTTCGGGTTTTTTTCTCAGATCGGACTCTGGGATGTGCTTCAATGAGAGGCCTTCTTTTTCTTGAAAATGTTTCTTCCTTAAATAGACACGAAGCTCATTTTTTACTTGGTTTTGCACACATCTCAATTTCTGTGATGACAACTTTTTGTAAGACAATTTTTTTTTGCAAAACAGGATCAAAATATTTGTATCCTTTTTGTGTTGGTGAGTAACCAAAAACACATTTTTTTGGCTTTTGGATCTAGTTTTCCACGATTATGATTTTAGATATGAACAAATGCAGTGCACCCAAATATTTTTAATGGTATGTCAGTGATCAACTGTGAGATTACATGACAGGTTAGGAGCGTGAAGGGTGCAGAGTAATGGAAGGAGAAATAGCAACCAAACCTTTTCTAGTAATTGTTGAAAGAGATACATAAGCTATTTTAATTTTTTTATTCCCTGCACAAGGGTTATATGACAAACATTTTTGTAGATCCTGTCATGTGGTCTGTTGCATCAGAATCTATAATCCAAGGATTAGTAGAGTTGGAATTGATGCTTACAAGGGCAGCTATGAGGTAATTACCTTTTTGAGCTAGGGAACAGGAGGGAGAGGAATTTACAAACATATTTGCGGACTAAAGGAGTTTGCACAGAGTGTCTATTTGTTCTTTTGTGAAAGGAAGCTTTCTAGACAAAGATTGCAGTTCTTGATCTTCGTTTGAGACTTGAAATGCTTGGCCCTCTCCTTTTTTCCTCCAATTCGGGGGGTTTTCCATGTAGCTTCTAGTACGTCTCACGTGTGTGCGTCAGTTTCTTGCAATGATCACACCATGGCTTAACTAGAACAAAATCCTACTTAACTCTATCCTAAGTTCCTAACTAATTTGTAACTTCCGACAAAACTGATAAATTGAAAGATTGCCCATTGCGTGGTTAGTGACTTGCTATCCTATACTGTGATCAATGATTGGTTAATTTTAGTTTATCTTCTTGGGTTGACAAGTAGAGTGTGGTGAGAATTAGGGGCGTCATATACGTCTTTGATCTGGTTTACGTTACATTTCCGTGACAAGTGTGAATTACACAAGACATGGTCTCAAGTTATTTCTTAAATTTTTTAGTGTCAAAAACTAGTGCTGATTATTTTCATAAATGTAAACCGTCCTGGTAACTAGGTAATTTTAAATGCGTTTATTGAATCTGTAAAAAAAGATCGAGTGGGCAAGAAAATTGGAATTTAGAATTGAGATTACAACTTCATATTATCTCTCCCCCCCCTTCTCTTTTTGGAAAGTTTTGTCATTGAATACAGCTGTATTATTTCCACTCCTCCCTCAACCCAGAAGAAAAAAAAAATTGACAAAAGGATGGGGATTACGTAAGAAAAAAAAAGAGCAACTTAAAAGTGCTAAAAGTCACATAAGTTCGTTGGAATTAATTGTTTATTTTTTTTTATTGGCTTTACCGCTCTATTGTAAGCTTCAACCTGTTTTCTTCTCAAACTAAACATATTGTGTCTCTCTTGTGTTGAATCACTAATTTGATTATTTTCTTTCCTTTGCTTATATTTATTCATTGAATTATCACAGCTTTCTTCCGAAGCAATAGAGATTCGATATGTGCTGCTTGTGTATGAGGCTGAAGAATTTTGTGACTTTGTTACTAATGGATCTCTTTCAGACCATGTTTTTGGTGTTCGAAGCCGTTATCCATCTCACACGGTGTGTTTTCTCACAAATAGGTTAATGTCATATATCAATAAGAGGTAAGAGATCAGAATTCAAGATGCTGTTAAGTACAAGAATTTAATTAATTAAATTATTTATTTTGCTAAAGGAGTACAATAATTAAGTAAAACATGTTTTCTATTCGTCTTAGAGAACAAGATAAGTACAAGAACCCCACACATTGTAGTGGTTGGAGGCGGCCCCCCGTTGAGGAGGTGAATTAAAAACTCAAGCATGCCTATGATTATCTAATTTCTATCTTCTCATAGATATTACTCAGACAGCCAATATTTATTTCTATGTATGTTCCTTGCAGGCACTGGCAAAATTAACCACTCACTTTGTTAAAGTGCATTCCAGGCAGTGTGTAGATGAGGCGGAACTGGCTGAGCATGTTGTTGGTTTGACTTGCAGTTTGGCCTCTTGCCAATTTAGGTACTTCACAAGTATCTTTTTGAAATGACCAATAAAAAATAAATAAATACAATAATTCAGGAACATTATTTTGGTTTTGAGCATGTACTAACAACAACGTGTTTATCTGGTCCTAGTTCTTTTCCTGCCAAAAATATTGCATATGGTTCTTTCATCAACTTGTCTTGAACTATCGTTAAGATTTTCCAAAAGCTTGTTGCCATTCTGATGATAGTGGTTTTGCATAATCAACATTGTTGTAAACATCATGTATAATCTCTCTCAGCTGGCCATTCTTCTAATTTTCATTTTCTTATTGTTGTTAAATTGCAGAAAGAAGTTAACACGATTGTCAGTAAATGCTAATGGTTCCCTTATTCCTAAGGACTTTGTTGACAAGAATTTAATAAGAAATAACTTGTGGTGAGTATGATGTCTTTCCTACAATTTCAATCAGATGCCATTTAAAGTGTCCTTTTTTTTTTTTTTTTTTTAAATATATGTCGCTGCTTGCTTTTAGTTTTTGCTTCTTCTTCTTCTTCTTCTTTTTTTTTTTTTTTTTTTTTTTTTTTTTTTTTCGGATCGAATCCGCGACCTCTCCCGAAATTCACATTTTCCATCTAGCACGATGGGATTTCCATTCCAATTTCCCTCAATATAGAAAATACCCACCCCCACCCGCCCACGTTATTTTATAGTAGTTTTGATTATGCAAATCTAAAAATTACAATGCCTACATTTCTGCTGTTACTTTCCGATTACTCCACTCCTTGAAAATTCAAGTTTTTCTGTCCCAAGGAAGTTCTTAAAATTCTTTTACCATGTTTACCTTTGTATTTTATGAACATATGGAGAATGATCAAGGGGATAAGAGTTTGACGTTTAAAGTCATATCTCATTTCTGACTATCTTTGGACCATGCTCTCAATAATCTAAAAGACATGTTGTGGTACTTAATCGATCTTTTTGTTCGTACTATTTCATTAAGCCTTCTTTCCCACGTCTTGACGTTTTTTTTCTTTTTTGGTTCCTTATGGATTTTTTAATCCAGGTTAAAAGCTTTGGTTGCTATACCGAAGGTGCAGCCACGATTTGCGGTTGCTATATGGAGGAAGTACCCCACCATGAAATCACTCTTGAATGTTTACATGGATCCTAGTAAATCGGTAAGCAATGGCAAATTGAACCCTTTCTTTCTGACACTGACATAATGATTACTCCATTAAGAAATTATAAATTTAACCTGGCTTTGATACCAATTGATTCAACAAAAGCGCAATAAACATAGAAAAATGGATAAATCTTCCCGGGCTAACATAGACAAAAGGAGGTCCAAACCAACCATAGGAAATTTTATGAATTATATATATATATATATATATTTCCGAATGATTGATTTTCGAGTAATTGGCACCAATGGCCCCTAAACTCTTTAGTATGTGACAGTTTAGTCCCTATTCTTTTAATCTTAGCAAAACAAACCCTAAACTTTATAATTATTGGCAAATACAACCTTTCTGTACATCTTTTTAAGTTTTTCACAGAATTACACATGTGGACATAATGTGCTACTCTTCTTTGGTAAAAAGTAAAAAATGATCTATAAGAAAAAATAAAACTAGGCAACCTGTATTTACAGCTCTATTTCAATATAACACAACAGATGCACATTAGTGTTGTATCAAATGAGAATTACATTCCATTTGTTTGGATTACTTCACTAGAGTTATATTCTATTTGTTTGGATTACTTCACTATTAAATTTGACAAGTGAACAATGATCAATTAAAGAGTTGCCAAGGGTTATTGTATTACTGCACCTTTTTTTTTTAAAAAGGTTTTTGGTGTTTTGTCCTCCTGAAATTTGATTGAATTGACGAGTTGCCTCTTGACATTTAATGTGGTAAATTACCCCTTGAATTTAATAAAATATTTTGGTATCTTCAAATCGATGAGTGATACAATTTGGAAAGAAACATTATCTTGCACGTGACACCCCTACCTTATCCTTCACCGAGGCACCATCATGAAGAGACATCATCATGACTAACATGACGGAACCATCTTTAGAATAATAAAGGGGAATCTTATCGTTTTTATCTGGACTCGTAATATAGTTGTCTTTCTTCCAACATTATTATATTACTTGTAGCACTTAAGTTTTAGCTCCCTCAATATAAATAGGGAGCACTTGTAATAGCAAAGACATAGTTGGTTTCTTACTAGCTTCCTTGTATCCTTTTTTTGTTCTAAGTAAATAAGAGTTTCTTTATTTCTCTTAACAATTCGGCCATTTTCCTTCCTAGGAAACCAATTATATCTTAGCTATTACAAGTGTTCCCTATTTAGAGGGAGGGAGCTAGAACTTAAGTAATACAAGTAATTATTGCATATAGTAAATAATGTTTCATAATTATGCTGGAAGAAAGACAACTATATTACGAGTCTGGATAGGAATGATGAGATTCCCTTTTATTAGTCTAAAGATGGCATGAGGGGATTCCTTATGTTTGTCATGGTAAGTCATGATGTTGTATTTCTATGATGGCGCCTAGGTGGAGGATAAGGTAGGGATGGAGTGGGTTCCATTTGTCCATGTTGGAGATTACACGGGGCCCAAACATGTTCCAAGCATCATTTGAAATTTCAATCTCTTCCTTCAAACGAGGTCACGTAACGTGTATGAAGAGGTTTGGTCAAGATTTTAACAATTGTCATCGGTTTGGGGCCAAATGTGCTAAATACCCTCGTTTTAAAATTACGTTTTCAGCCGTTGAGGCAAAACTTGTTTTTATATTAAAATGACAGGTTCATGAAAAGGAATTTCTGCTCAAGGACTTGACAATAGAAGGCTTAATTGGTGAGGACAGAAGATTAGGTGAGGTTTGTTCGAAGAGAGTGTACAGAATACTTATGGCACAAAGTGGATCTATCAAAACCGATGATGTTGAGGATGGTGCTGATTTTTTTGGACACCAATCATCTTAAACAATTCCTTCTCCATCGTTAGCCTTGACGGAAACTTCAAATAGTATAGAGTCAAAAATAAGGTATATTCTTATCTTGCAACTTTTGCACTTTTCTTTTGTCCTATAAAATCATAGATCCCTTAACATTTGATAAGCGGGTGGATGGATTCGAATTGTGAATGTCAATATCGGAGGTTGACTTATGTAGCTACCATCAAGCTAAAATTTGTGGCCCCTGGCCACCACTTAGAGGAGAGAGTGAAATCTTGCTCTACTTTGTCAACTTATTCTTTGACATTTTTTTACCCTCTTTCCAATATGCATCAATTACTATTGTAATCTGGTTGCTGAGTCATGATTGATTCTAAACATCTTATCGTGGCCTTCTAGACGAAGCAGTTGTAAATAAATAAGATAATTAAAATGAGCAATACTATTACCACTACTATTGTCTAACAGGTTCGCATGTCAATTTTTGGACTCGTTTAGATGATCATTTGTATCCATTTTTTACTAGCTCAAAAACTAGTAATGTTCATGACCACTAGTTGTAGATACATAATGATGATTTGGAGCTGCCAAAGCAGGATGTCGCCGAAAAGAACGGAACGCTGCTTCGCTCTGCTAGATGCATTGGAACCCATATAAGAAGCAAGCTTTTTTTGCCCTCAAATTCAAATATTTGCTGCAAAATGCTATCCTGCTCTGTTCTTTCCTGAGTGGCGATAGAAGCCCGCCAGTTCATGTTGCTTTGACGGCTATTTTTCGCCTTCTCTTTGCTTTCTTTGCTCATGTTGCTTTGACGGCTATTTTTCGCCTTCTCTTTGCTTTGTTTGCTCATGTTGCTTCGGCGGAGACTTTTCGCCTTATCATTTTTCAATTTTATCACCATAACGCTTAGAATTAGGCTGGCGAGGCTCAATCGCGGTGACATTCACATAGCAATAGGAAGCTCGTATTTCTCAAAATTCTTTTAAGATTTTCGTTAGTAGATAAACAGCTTCTTTTTTTTTTTTTTTTTTTTTTTTTTTTTTTTTGAAGGAAGATAAGCTTGTAAACACCTTGATTTTACATTTTTCAAGTTTTTTTCCCCTTTATTTTAATATTTGAATAAGATTTTTGAAGTGTGCTCGTCCGTCTGCCCACAGGAATCGTATGTTCTAAATGGGTTTTCTGGGCCACTCCATTTTGATAGAAGTTATTGTGGTGGGCCAAGACTTTCTACCCACTACTTTGCTCGGTTGGGCCCTCATCATTATTTGGAATCTGAATAGATTGGAAAATGAGTGGTTCAATATTTTATGAATGACACAACAACACTAATTCTCATGTATTTTTTTTGTTTCGCAACTTAAATTCTTAACTCGAGTTTTATACGTGAAAAAAATATTAATAAAAGAGTTTAAATTTAAATTTTTATAAAAAAAGAATAAGGATATATGATTTGTGAGTTGCTATTCTTTTATTGATAGATTTTTAGAATATTGCCATCTCAATTAATAATGAAATATTACATCTAATATTAAAAAATGATAACTCAATGCTGCGAGAGTCGGTATTAAAATTGGGGTTCTTTGCACATCTTTTATTGAATAGCTGCAGCCATCTTTTTTGTGATCTCATGATTCATCGTCAGCAAAACCCTGTGCCAATTACAACTACTATTTCATCACCAAACTATGCCACCAACAAAAAGAAAATATCATTTTTTTTTAATTCATTCCATCAAAGGTAGATAGAAACTTGTAATTTCTATTTTTGCTTGTCTTTTTTTTTTTTCCTTGAAAACACATTCATTGCTCAAAGGTTGAATGCAATTCTGTAGATGTTCTATATGGAATGTTTCCCTCTAATCAACGGGCATTTTCAGGATACTATCTTATTTAGCAGTATGATTTTTTTTAAAAAAAAATTAGGTTTCAACTAATTACTAATTCTTGTAGTCCCAAAAAAAAAAAAAAAAAAAAAACTAAACATAATATTTATCTCATGGTGACGTAGTCTATAGCACGCTATATTGCTCACATATTTTTCTATTCAATATACTATCAAACGAGAACATATTTATCTAACAATTGAAGTACTTGAACACTTCTCTTTCAAAATAGCCCATCTAGATTGCATTGCATGAGTCATTTTCCCGAGGTGACCATGTCTGTGTAAATTTGTTAGAGCTACTAAACTAAACCTTACAATCCTTACTACATTTTCGAGTAAGGTTACGGTACATTTTAAAATTTTATGTATGTGCATCTCAAATCTCAATCATTAAATGAGGTTAAAATTAATCAATTTATTGATTTTTTCTCAACAGCCCAAATTATTTTTTTCCCAAAAAAAAAAATGTATATATATATGTACATCTTTATGTATTTGGAGATATTATATTTTCCTCCATATCCATATGCTTATGGACCATGACAAAGACCAATTTCCACTACTCTAATGAAACAATTGACCTAGGAAATCATGCCTGCCACAATATTCCCAAAAACACAAGCACTTTGCTATCCAATCACGGCGCACCAAATCATGATAATTCAATTCTTTACTCATCAAACCAAACCCTAGTGGCCCATGCACACTTCCACTAATACACACTATTAATTACGCTTTGCATGGTGTCCATACAAGTGTGTTTTTATATATTTTTCTTCTCTCCCCATATAAGTGAAGAGCCTTCTAGCTCCTTTGGCACTTGGGATCATGGACAGGAGCAAATCATTGCCAGGGCACTACTCCAGCCTTTATGGAGATGCCCGGTTCGGGTTCGAGGACCGGGCCAAGTCGTACAGCTTCAACGGCCCTAGTGTACGGGTTGAAGATCATGAGCTTGGTTCGTCCAGTAACCCGGAGATGAAGAGGAGGAAGAGGGTTGCAAACTATAATATGTATGCCATGGAAGGTAAGCTCAAATCCTCCTTGCGCAACAGCTTTAAATGGATCAAGAGCAAGTTTGTGGACACCTACTATGATGAATGAAACTTTAATAGTCAAAGGAAAAAAAATAAAAATAAAATCTCCCTTTTTCCATTTTTTCTATTTTTTTTGTTTTTGTTTTTGTTTTGGTTGCGGTTGTTTTTTTTTTTTTTTTTTTTTGGTTGCGGTTTTTTTTTTTTTTTTTTTTTTTTGGAGGTTGGGAACTGGGGATATATCAAATAAAATGTACAGTATTTATTAGTCTATAAGTTGTTACAGTGTTTCATTGTTAAAATCTCCTTATATTACTTGGAATTTTTGTCTTGTTAAAAAGTTCAAATTCAATTTAAAAAGTGATAATTGTTCTGAATTTTAACAGACTTCATTGCTAGTGATTTTGGGAAGCTTTCAAATTGTCATTAGAACATATTTCACATATAAGATTTACCAGTTAGAAATGAGCAGGCCTCTTCACGCAAGAGTTTGTTTTTTGTTTATATTGAAGTAAGAAAAAATTAGCAAAACTAACATCCTTTCATTGTTCTCTCTCTCTCTCTCTCTCTCTCTCTCTCTCTTGACTCATTACAACTGTTCACCAATAATTAAAATTATAGACATAAATATCCTGTATGCATAAGAATTGATGACTTTGCTTAACCAATTTCTTCAGACATAGAAATGAAAATATCTCTCTTTGCTGTAATTAAGTATCCAATTCATACCCCCTTAAGTAAATTGAGAAAAAAAAGGGTTAGAGATTTGAGATACACTCATTGAAGTAACGCAATAGTCACTTTCTGGTAGTTGAGAGAATCTGTGGTAGGATATAAAAAGTTATCTTAGAACATAATTTTTAACCGTCGGATCATACTATAATCATATCAGACTAAAAAAAAAATATGCTAATATAATGGAACGCAATAAAGATTTAACTGGTCAACAATTGTGTCATAATAATAGGGTTTTTTTTTATGATACGTCAATATTATTATTCAACCATCAGTAAGTAATATAGTATTGTTGGATATGTGACATGTCAACCGGTAAATTGTTAAATCACTAAGGCCTTTTTATTTTACAATTCAATTTATAACTTAAATTTTATCACTATCATGTTTTCTCTCATAAAAATTCAAATTCAATTTTTTTGTTACAATGTTTTTTTCTCATATATAAAACTCAAGTCATAACTCAAGTTATGACTTAAGTTGTGAAATGCTTATCGTTGAAAATTCCAGAATCAAAACAAATAAAGAAATAAATAAATAGATCACTACAGTGCAGCTGCCATTGTTCTATATCAAACCAAATCTTGTTATTATTCTCTAGAAACCATCCATAGGTGGTCCCAGATAATGAAAATAGAATAACACAGATATGATGATTTGAATAACTAGCAGCATAAGCTAAATAAGCAATATTTGCTAGCCTATTCGTTGTCAGCCACAAAGGAGAATTCTGACGACTTCTCGGGATCGTGATTTCGGAAATCCAATGCCGAGAGAGACCTGAAATACTGAGCCAGGGCACTGCCTTCCTTGTGGTTGATAATATCAGTCACTGAGGCCTGCAAAAGAGTGAAGTTGTTGATGTTTTTAAGGACATCAGGGTTGATATTCCTTAGAGAATTAGGGTGAGCCTGAGTTATTGAAAATCTTTTCTGGTGAGAACTAAGAACTGGGGACAAATATGCATTGAAGATCTGGTCTTCATGTCCAATATTGTGTTTACTACTGGAGGAAGTAGTACTGCTGCTTGCACTATTGCCCATCTCTTGGTTGTGCAAGTTTGGCTGCTCAGCATTCTTTTCCTGGAAAAGGAAAAATAAAATGTATGAGCTAACAATGTCACCTTTAAGAAGGGTTCTTCTACGGTAAGAATTGTAATTTCTGACCGTTAAATTTAGTCCAGATCACATTAGAATTAAAAAATATATATATAACTGACAATTTCCGTCACATATTTGATGTTAAAAAATAGAGATCTACCAATAGTTTATTTTTTCAGGTCCTGCAGTAGAAATCTCCCTTAAAAAGGAAAAGGCAAAAATTGATATCAACTAACAGAAGTTGTTCTTCTTTCAAAGTAAACTTGCTGGGGTTGGCAAAGGCTTTCGGTGTTTGTGTTGTTAGAAATGTCAAGAGGCGTTAAATGGTTAGGGAAGAAATCTAAAAGAAATGAGAAACTAAAAAACACTAAAAGTCAAAGACATTAGTAAGGAGCCACACTTGCTTAAAAGCACCAGTAACCAGTACACCAAAGTAAAACTTTTTTCTTTTTTAAGCACAGACTATCTTTTTAGTACACTTTTATTCTGACCTACACGAGATAAAAGGGCAAATATAGCTTTAATTGTGGTCGTCAAAATTGTTTGTTGAGTTCAATCTCAAAATGCATAGGGGTTATCTACTGTTTCTTGCTCTACAAGAAAATCAGTCCAAACCAGAAATTCTTGAAACCTTGATCAAGTGCTCCAACGTTATCAACTAGATCAATACCATTCAACTTCTTGCTTATAAGAAAAGGCTTCTCAAATGCCATTCACCCCCATATCAAAGAGAATATGGTGGACTGAATGACGAAAAAAATATAAGCAACTCAACATGGTGAGGAATTACCTCATTGAAATGTTCAACATCACCTATAGCCTGTCCATCAAGTTCGTCCTTCTGCTGATGAACTTCGTAATCCGTTCGTGACGATTTCTTTGATTTCGAACTCTTCCTCCTAAAAGAAGAAAAAGAAGAATCAATTTTCTCAAGTGCTTATTAATTGGACCATTCAAGGAAATTTTAAGCCCACCATATGGTATATGATCTAGACCATTGGTTTTGATAGCATTTAATGAAACTGCTTGGTTACTTAAAGAACACAGTACTTAAAAAAAAAAAAAAAAAGGAAATAGCAATGGACCAGTGTCAAGGAAAGTTCAAAAGATAAATAAATACATGTATAATTGAAATCCAATTTTTTCATCCAAGTAGTTTAAATACATCTAAAAATACTATCTTGTTGTAGCTTTTATTTCATATACTTCATTCTATATGAAAGATGTTATATACAGAAGTAGAAAAAATTGTTATTAAAAAAAGTTTGAATTTTAATAGGAATTTCATGTTCCAAAGTGCAACATACTTCTTCTTTTCGTTTCCTCTAGTTGGCTCATCCTCCACTGTGTAAACTACCGGTAGATCAGAAAGTTCACAAGCCAATGGACTTGTACTGAAGAACTGAAACAAGAAAAAATTATTCAGAAAAGAGACCATGAATAACATTCATGATCAATTATGTAAATTATGAAGAGGAGAACAGTATAAGATTTTATCAACAAAATTGTACTTCCATGAGTCTAAATCTTTATTTTCTTTGTCTCCCAAAGTTTGGATCAAAGTAGTGTAATTCTTTAAGCAATTAGTAGTTACCATATTCATGTTAACATCTTGCATTGAATCACATGAGACTGCTAAATAGATGATTGTTGATAGTTAATATAATTACTAGAAAAATTTGACATCACAGTGATACAAAAGAAAATAATCAAAACCGGTGTTATTCTTAAAGTACTTTTTTGTTTGGTTAGAGCTATAAAAATGATTAACTTGATGTAAGAGAAGCACAACTAATCTTTACAAAAATTGCAACTATTAAGAGAGACGCAATCTAATCCTATCAATCACCTAGAACCAGACAAATGGGCCCATGCATTCTCGAGGCCTGAGACCACATAGGCCCACTCATGTTCAAGCCCTGCATCACAATCCTTCTCTCTCTCTTTTTGTTTTTTTGTTTTTTGTTTTTTTTAAGTTTTACACTTAAAACTAAAAAAAAAAAAAAATTGAGTTATACCCCCATATTATTAAATAAATTATATCAGTGTCACAGTGTCACGCTCAAACTATGTCCTTTATCTTAAAAAAATCTCACTTTTATTATAACGCGTATTTATAAAATATTCTGGTTCCACCGCTAAACTTGATGATTACGACTTCTCTCTCCTTTGCAATATGTCAAAATTTCAAATGTAGATTCTTATAATCTTCTTAGTACCATCAATTGGTCTGCAAAACAAATTTGACAGTGGTTCGTACAATGTTTGCTGTTTGTACTCACATCACTTTCGAGAGCAGAAGCAGCAGTGCCGCGGAATGCCGGGTCTAGAGCAAGAAGTTGCTTCAAGAGACCAAAAGAAGAGCTGGGAAAATCTCTAAAGACTTCCTCAAAACTAGATTTGTAGTTTTTTGGCGGTCGAAAACTTGTCGGCAGTTTCATCTTTGTCCAGAACTCATCTGGGGGTGCACCACAAAGCTTGAAGATCTTATGCAGCTGCTCAACCTGCAATGCAGAAAAACTTAGTAGAAATAATAAAAAAAAAAATGGCAGGCCTTAAAAACATCTCATAAAAAAAAAATGTTTCTACAAAACATGAAAAAAGGAAGCACAATTTCCCCCCTCTCATTTCAGGGCTCCTCACAATATTAATAGGATAATGTTTTACATTTGTTGATTAATGTTTTTCATAAGGCTTAATATGTTCGAAATAGATGAAAAAAAAAACAAGTAAATGAAGAATATCAAGCACTTTATTATACTTAGCTTCAGCTTACAACTTTGGGACGAAAAATCAATATATATATATATATACGGCTCTATTAATCCTTTAACCTTTAAGAAGTGACAGTTTAGTCCTAATTTTTTTTTCTTCCGATTAGTCCCTAGGGCCTAAACTTAATTCTTTGGCAGGTCAGGTTTGACAATAAATTTGATCGCATCAAGTAAAAACTTGAAATTTTGCAAAAACAAAAAAAAAAATCAGGTTATGTGCAAATGTTTTAATTTTGAAGCCTTTCCATGGGTATTAAAGGAAACATCTTGCTCTTTATGTGACTTTTTTGCAAAATTTCAAGTTATCTCACGAAACGTATGCTTACTTTCATCAAACTTTAAAAATCCCTTGTTAATTTGTGGTCAAGGACCTAAAACTGGCAAAAAAACAAAGGTCATAGATTAAGATCAAACTGTCACAATGCTAATAGTTTAACGACTGACAACGCCAAAAATCTAACAAAAAGGTAACAAACTAAAATTGAAGCTTAGTGAGTTTACTTAATATCTAATTAATCAACGGTTTATGTTCAAAGTAACATAGTAGAATAAAATGTTTTACCTCAGTTCTCCCTGGCATAAAGGGTCTTCCAATGAACATCTCAGCCAATATACATCCTGCACTCCAAAGATCTATACCAATTCCATAATCTGTTGAACCTAGCAACAGCTCTGGAGCTCTATACCAGAGTGTCACAACTCTGCTTGTAAGAGGACCCTTTTTAGGAGGATAAAAATTTGCAAGCCCGAAATCCGCAATTTTAAGTGTTCCATTTTTATCAACTAGCAAATTGGAAGCCTTAATGTCCCGGTGTAAAATTCCCCTCTCATGACAATGCTGGAGACCCAAAAATAGCTGCTGCATGTAGCATTTCACCTGTATGTATATGATATTCCCATGAAATTTTTAAATTTTTAAATTTAGTTAGGCATGGTTTGTTTAAATAATCATCGTCAACTAAGCATGTGAGTGTCACATGGTTGATTCTACTGAGTTTTTAACAGTTTTTATGACCGCAGGGCCAAACATGGGACAAAGAGCATTGTTTAGGGTGCAATTTGTAATGCTAAAAAAGTTAGAGGGTCAATATGGAACGCGAAACATAGTCAGAATACGTGTTATCAACTAAGAATGTGAATGTCACATGGTTGACTCTGTTGAGTTTTTAGTGGTTTTAATGATCTAAGGGCCAAACTTAGGACAAGAAGCATAGTTTAAGATGCAATTTGTAATGCTTTTAAGTTCAAGGGCCAAAAGGGAACAACAAACATAATTTGGAGTTAAAAGTGAAATTAACCCTAAAGATATCAAAATAGTGGTATTTCTCAATTGTTTCTTCCTTGCATTGTTTGACACTCAAGAAAATGATCAATATGAAACAAATTCCTTCTGCAATTTCTTTCCAATGGCAAAAAGTTCAAAAATGATCAATGTTAATTTAAGGTATTTTAAGGTAAATATAAGGAGCAGGAGGAAATGCAAACCTGTGCTTCATCGAGCTTCTGTTCGGAACGTGTGATTACTTTGGCCAAGTCTGCTTGCATATAATCTAAAACCAAATAAAGACTATATTGCATTCTTGATGTGGCAAGGCCTACAAGCTTGATGACATTGGGATGATCTAGCTTCTGTAGTATCCTTATCTCCCTTGCCATAAACTTGATGCTGTCGGACTCCGACGTGTCGAATCGAACCTTCTTCAAAGCAACGATCTTTTTAGTCACCCGGTCTCTAGCTTTGTACACATTGCTGTAGGTCCCATGGCCTATCTGCAAAATCCAAATATCCAGACAAGTTCAAACTAACTCTTGTCCTCTAAGAAAACAATAAAAGGAAATTTTGTGATAATCAGGAAAACTCTTATTTGATTTTTCACTCTTATGGATTAATCTTTTAGGGAAAAAAAAATCATCCAGGCAAACATTAGAGATCTGATCAACATTGACAAATATAAGCTTTTCTTTTGTGGGTGGCCTTAGTTCTACGGTTAGTACAAACCAAAAGTAAGTGATAACAGAATGCAAGGAACATCATGGCTAGCTTATAAAACACTAATAGACTAGCACAAGTAAATCCTCTCACCTTCTAAATGGGAATGCCCGGAAAAGAAAAGGTTTATTTTTTATAGCTCTAGTAAAAAATATTTCATAAATAAGATTAGTTTTGATTACTTTCTTTTCTGTCACTGTCACGTCAGTAATTATCACAAGTAGTTATTGCAATTGCCAATGGATGTACCATTATTATTGGAATAGCCTGAGGAGGCAATAATGCAAAAGAAAATAATCAAAGAAAACAACCTGTTCATGGGATTTTACAAGATTTAAGAAAAAATTTCTAGGCAACATTATATATTTACCAACTATATCATAAAACCTTCAAGAAATTCCACTAACCTTAGCAAGCTTATCATATGAATGAACACTCCTTGGGACCAAACCTTCCAAAACCCCTTGAGGTATGTTCTCAACAAGCCAATCCGGCCACCTACCAACAAGCTCATCACCCCCAATCTTCTTCTTCTTCTTCTTGGCAACCCTCTTCGAACTTCTTCCAACACTTCCTTCACTCCCACCATTACTAGTCTCCTTCTCATCAAAAACAACCCTCCTGATCTTAATCTCGGGTTCGAGCTTTAACACCTCACCGGCCGCGCGTTGTTTTAGGCTTACGGAACTGTCTCCTTTTCTTCCCTTAACATAATCATTCTTTGCTTTCTGCCTCTCAAGGTCCTGGTTCGGCGAGCCCGGTTTTCCCTGGACACAACCCATTTTTTTTCTCTGGTAAGGTAATAGTGTTTGGTAGGAAGAAAAATATTTTGATGGGAACTAGGTGACATAGTAGGGATGAGAGTGAGAGAAAAGTGTGTTTTTGATGGAAAATTGTGAAATGCCACAAAATGATAAGAAAGGTTGATGTTACCGTCCCTTTGGCCTGCACTGCTTGGAAGTATGCTGGAGAAGAGTAAAGAGAATTAGTCCTCATTGGGTCATTGTCAATCTCTGTATTCTCCGCCATTGATTGAGTATTGGAGAGTTTTTTAGTATCTTCTATTTTTCTTGATTATCTTCTTTGCCAAGGAAATGGAAGGTTTTGAAAATATAAACGTTGGAGATCTTTTTTGTTTTTTTGTTTTTTGTTTTGTTATGTTTTTTGTTTTTTTTTAAGTTGGCGGGTACGAGTAAAAGGTTATCTGACAAGGAAAAAAAAATGTGAAAGGTTATTGGTTTTAGAAATTAGTGATCGACACCGATTGATCTTTTTCTATTTGTAGAAACTTTTTTTTTTTCTTTTTTAAATGAAAACTACAAAGCATTTAAGCGTGTTTTACATATTTGTTTTTGCTAAGAAAATTATTCTCATCCGATGGATTATGTATAAGATTAATTAAGCAGTAAAAATACATTCTTAAAGTAATGGGGAGTTGTCATTTTCAATTGATGGTTTTTATTATTTTTCATGCTTTGGTAATTTGAATTTAGTAATTAACCCATAAACATGTCAAACTGTTGTAGTGGTGCCTAAATTGATAGTGTCGGTTAAATTGGTGATGAAAAGAAGAGGGCCACAAAGCGGTGAACATTGGGTGGGTTGGATGGGTTTTTGAGATTTTTCAACCCATCCAAATTTGTTTTAAATTTAAGAAAAAAATGTAAAAATTGACGATTAAACACATTTTTTTGAAGTTCTATCTTTTTGATGTGATAGACTACTTCTTTGATTATAATCTGTCAAATTATAAATAATAATTTGTTAAATTTTAGACAATAATATGTCAAATTACGCCTACTACTGACGATATCTGTCAAATTATCAATAATAATCTGTCAAATTACTTACTCTAAAAGGGCAAAATTCAATACGCCAATATTGAGACTAAAAAATTCTTAATGGTATCATTTTAAGGGATATTTGTCAAAATTTTCCTAAATTTAACCTACCAAATCAACTCAAAGTTTAAAATCCATCCACCTAATTAAAATTTGAGTGGGTTGGTCGGGTTGAACATAGAAAAGAAATAAAAAATAAAAATAAAGCTAATCATTCAACCTAAAAAAAGAAATATATAAAAAGAAAGCTAATTTTCAATTTTTGATCATAATATTAGTCTTATAAATCTCTAAACTTGTCTCATAAATTATAAACCAATATAAAAATAAAATATAAGCAAAAGAAATTCAAATATATAAGTTGTAAACCAACAAACAAACAGTAATAAAAACTCATACAATATAAAACATAATATGTGTAAAGTAGTTAATGTAAAATATAAGATAAATATTATATATTATGAGGTAGGAAAATATATATATATATATATATATAAATAGATTGGGTGGGTTCGGGTCAAATTGGGTTAAGAAAAACTCAACCCAAACCCACCCAATTAATGGTCAGATTGGGTGAGTCAGGTTGATCTCTTGATCTGGTTGGTCGGGTTTAGGTTATAATGAATTAAGTTGGATGGATTAATCGAGTTGGTCGGGTTGGCGGTGTGTTTTGTTCACCCTAGGGCCACTTACCAAAATTCAAAGTCTGGAAGACAATTTGCTAAAATAAGAAAAGTTCAATGGCTAACGACCCATATCAATTTAAATGGCGTTATTAATTTGGATCACATTTCAACAATTCGAAGTTCACAACGTTAATTACCAAAAGAAGATCCACAGCTCCCCACACTCCTTTTTGATAAATTTTACGTATTACTAAAATACTTATAAATAAAATCAATTCCAAGACAAGTATTATGAAAATACTCTTCACACACCCAAATAGTTTTTCAAAAAAACAACCCTTTTATTTATTTATTTATTTGGGCAAAAATACAACACATACTAAACACTCAAATCACAATTAGTAATAATGAGAGAGAATAAACAATGGCTTCTAATGGAAACGATACTGTACGTATTTTTCCTCTCTCAAATATCATTTTACTCATTTTTTCTACCAAGATATCATGTTACTCGTTACTCAGTACAATCTCCATCTTTTTGTATTTTGTTCATTAATGACGTACTCATTTGTACAACTCAATTGATGTTGGTTGTGATAATGTTCCGATATATTACATACGTAATATGTGGCTTGATGCGTATACAATTGCCTTGCCCCACACATTTCTTCATTAGTAATCAAGAAATCTCTCTATTAAACAGAATAAAAGGAGTGAATTCTCTCTCTTTTTTCTGTGAAATTAGGCAAGGAGTCCTGCATCTTTCTATATCCCCCGAGAACCCCCATAGACCTAAACTAAAGATAAATCAAGCGGTAGAGTGTCATCTTGACGTGGTGGAAGTCATCAGTTCGAGCCTGATATGTTAAGGACATTAATTCTAATCCCAATTCTTATATCAACTCTATATTACATACGTAATAAAGCAAATTGTAAATCTTATTATGAACTTTAGGAAAGTTTCAGTGCCGTTTCAACCTGCAAACTGCAAAGAGGGGGGAAAAAAAAGCTTTCCTGAATATACACGTCCAATTGGAAGTTACACTACTAATTGAATGACGTTACTTAAATTGAACCTAAAGTAACCAGTCTTGTTTACTCTGTCACCAAGATACTGCAAAGTTCCCCAAAACCAAATTGCTTTTTCATAGTTACAGAAATCAGAGTCAAGTTCTATTTTTTTTTTTCTCCCCCTCTTTTATATTTTTGGTTTCCTGAATTTACATGTAATCTAATTACCGGAATCGAGTAACTTTTCAGTTTCCAATCGCTACTTAATGAATCCACCATTAACAAGCTTTCTTGAAGCAGGTAGGCCGAGATCAAAAGGTCCCAAAGAGTCGTTCTGTAGAGAAGCAGTGAAACAATCACATTAGGTATTTATGAAGCACGCATAGGACTTGAAGAGCCAACTAATTGTCGAATAGTAAAAAATTTATACCCATTTGATGCCCAAGAGCCCAAGGCTGCTTTCATCATTACATGTTCTTGAAGCGAGAACGAGATCGGTCTGAGCCTCTTGACATGCCTGATCTTCTAGAACCCTAGCTTGAGAATCGATCTGTAATCAACATTATATTAGTGAATGCAAAAAATGATTGCCAGTTTTATACTTAATTAAAAAGTATACGCTTTTCAGGTCTCAACAAAACCCTTCTTTCCCAATAATATAAGAGTTCTGAAATGACCAACCCAAATTAGATAAATCCTTGATCTAATCACGTGTAAAGGAAGAAACGCGAGTTTGTTATTTTCATTCTCGAGCTAAAATTCACAAAGGTAAAATCTAACAACAAAATATCGACAAAGAGTAATTAAGCAAATACATAAAAGAGGTTCTCAAACAGCTGCAATCCTATTCACCTACCAATGGAAGATGCATTTTTCAGAGATCGCAACCTTAAATTTATTCTTAAGACCATAAAATTTTCTTCGAGACCATCACAAAAACTTTTAAAACATATTTTTACTAGATGGAATTAATTCCCATAACTCATCTAGCCCAAGTATCAACGTTATCATCTCTGGCTCGCATTGTCTGGTTCACATTGTTCAGGTCTTAACACATGCTACTATTATTTTTTTCCATCAAACATTTTACGTTCTATATTGCTGTATCAGATCTTTCAATAACGGAAGGGAATCCAGATTTTGACTGATAAAAATCCTGACAGGTCAGTTTTAGGCTAGACATTTGCATTAAAGGGCATGGTATATATGAAAAGAGTAAGCAAACCTCATCCGTTTTGGGAGATCTGGATGGTTTGGACCCAGCATCCTGGCTACAGCCTCCAGAACTTCCACTGATAGCTGAAACCCTTTTGCCTGAAGAAGATAGTCTTTGGACAGGGAACGCATGACATGTCTCTTCAGCATCCAGAATAGATGAGTGTGACATGTGAGTAGGTAGCTTTGGACCTTGAGGACAACCAGTTTGGGCAGAAAAAAAAGCATCAAGTGAATCAGAAATTATGGGAGTCGACTGCAAGTCTGCATTACTCCCAGCAGATTTTGCACCGTTATTGAACTTTCCCTGTAAGGATACTTCGGACAAGAGGCCTCCAATGCTTATATTAGTTAGACAATCAGCCCAGGACGCCAGTAACTTTGAATTGAAGTTTATTTGGTCAGGCTGCAAGCAAGTACCATTTTCCGTTGACTTTGGTTCACAGCTGTTGAATTTAGCCTGTAAGGATGCATCAGACAGGAAAGCTCCAATGCTTGTATTAGTTAGATCATCGAGCCAATGTGCTACTGGTTGTGGTTGTCCAGGTTGACTATCGGTCCTCAGTGCATCATCCTACTTAGAATAACAGGAGCACCTTTAGAAAAGCACTACATTTTTGACAAATAAATCACTAATATATGCAAAATGAACCTCAAGAATTTTTGCACGTCAATTTCAAATAACTGTCTAACAAATCTCAACCACATGCACACATCTGAATTAAATAAACAAACAAATAACTCTTGTGGGCAAGACAAGCATACAAGAAATGTCTAAGAAAGTCAACTCAAATTCAATCTTCCAAGCAGTATCTTAGTAGCAAGAGACTATTAGCACACAAACAACTAATTTATTGAAGGTCTTCTCAGTGGAAAACTATTTCTGTTTCACTTACATTGATCAATTTGAATTCTTCACATGTCACAATTTGCATCTCCTCATTATCACCCTTTTTCATGTCGCAGTTACAATCCTTCTTTGCATCTCCAGATTGTAAACAAATATTGCAAGAAGTTGATGTTGTAGAGGGCTCTTCAAATGTTTTGGGTTCAGAATTTGAGAACCAGCCATACCTTAAATATAAAGATCGATAGTAATGAGAGAAGAAAAGGAGAACAAGACCAAATCAGAAGCTTAAAATAAGTTATGCCTATAAACCATTGAAACTATTAGACCCTATACCTTAAGCGAAAAGTTGCAGGGCTTCCAATAGATGCATAGACATCCCTTGCACTGATGTCACTATCTTTCATTGTCCAACTTCTGCAGCCAGAAATATCGCCATGTATATCGTAAGGGAATAACATTGGCTCACCAAGAGCAACTTTTGAACTCCCCCACTTGCTATTGACACGCTTGAGCACAGAAGAAATCTTTTTCTTAGCTCTGAGAGTGAGTTCCAAGTATGGATGATGACCATCCTAGATATTCACAAATAAAATCATCTCAAGTATCTTCCAAAAATATACAAGTTAAAGAACCTCTACTATCTTCCAAAACCATATAAATCTAATCGCATTCGATATGACTCTATCCTTCATCATGGTTCGGGAGTTTACCTTTTCTAATCCAATGCGAGTGCCTTCATCTATAGGGAAAAGCTGCAACTTGATTTTTGTAAGTGGAAGAAGTTCTTGTAGTGGATGAAGCCCAATTACAGCAGATGACTCCATTTGTGTTCTATCGACCGCAGAACAAGGTAAGGAATGTTCATCTTTTTTTATCAAAAAACATTCATCTTGCCCTGAAAAGGATAAAGGTAGATACTCTTATGCAAAATAGAAAAAGAAAATAATAACAACAACAACAACAAGAAATGAAAAACTCAGCATCAATGTATCTGCTATATTCCTTTTTGAAATGAAGCACAATCACAGGATTGGACAGGCAACAGCTAATCAAAACAAATAAGACGCATAAAGAATACTTTGCAAATGACACCAGATGTTCATCAAACTTCATACAGAAAGAAAACCAAAAATCTTGTGGCTTGTCTATAAAGTTTCAAGTCAAAATAAATTCAAGCATAATATTGTAGACACTTAGATCAGATCCTCTAAGGCTTTACCTATAATTTTGGGACTTTGCCCACCAGTTTTTCTCACTTTGTTGGCTCCGGGACTAGATATATTTGATCTGCAATCTCTAGGAACCTTGATTGCCCTTTTGTTCCCCTGTGTAGCATCTTTCATGGTAGCTCAGCTTTCCTGCAATTTAAGCCAGCTACCACAAAAGTCACTGTCTTTAAAAAATAAATAAACTTTAAAAAAAGAAATTATCGAATTCACTACAAGAAATCACAATCAAATGGTTTCTGAATTCTTTGAACCACAATCTAAGACAAGATCAACAGATCTAACAAAAAGCAAAAACGAAAATGGGATCAATTTGTTCGACTATTAGGGTTTGACTTCTTTAACTCACAGACCCACCTTTCAATTTCCGCTATCCCTCAAATTCAAACCCTGATTCCCAAACAACACTTCGAAATCATAGAAACTCGTGACCTGTGACTTTGGGCGTCCGATACATAATTCACAAATTACAATTATTACAAAAGTTATATCTCCAATTTTGGTTCTAATTTCTCGAAACAAGACCGAAAATCCAAATCTAACACCTCAAAAACCCTAGAAAGACCAAATCAAAGAAAAGAAAATGGAGAAATTACCCTCCTTAACCGAATGCTTTAAATAAGAACGCAAAAGAAACGGAATTTCGGATCGAAATCTTGAAGAATTGCAGAGAAACGTAAACATGAGAGATTGAGAAAAAACTTTCGTACCTGAATCGAACTAGCCGAGAGGAAAAAATGAATGTGGGTGTTTGGATGTGGATAAAAACCTTGGCGGGAGAGAATTCTTTTTTTTTTTTTTTTTTCTTGAAAAGTGTCGGTTTCAAACTATTGCCGCTTCATTTTTAAAGCTCCTCTCACGTGGCAGTAATTTAATTATAATTTTTACGTATTTTGAGAAATAAAAAATAAAAATAAAAATAAAATGATGTTTATTTAATAATTATTTTAAAAGTGAAAACAGTGAGAATAGTTTTTGTAAAAAAAATTAAAAAATAGTTTAAAGTTATTTTCATTTTTTTATTTTTATTTTTTAGTATTTATCAACAATATTACAATATATTAATTAATAAATATGATTTTATTTTTTTTATTATACTCAAAACAATCTCTTAAAAAATTAACCAAACGCAATTTTAAAATCAGTCCCAGAATAATTTTGAAAATAATCTCATTTTTAATTTTTATTGAAAATAAAATCATTTTAAAACCAATTCTAAACGCACCCATAAAATCTGAATAAATAAAATATCAAATTAAAATTAAAAAAATAAAGTGTTAGGATAAAAAGATAAAAAAAAGATTCAAAATAAATATTAAAATAAAGAAATAAATAAGTTATATAACAACAGAAATCAAAACAAAAAAATAAAGTATAAGGACATAAAAAGGTCAATAAAAAAAATAAATCAATTTAGGGCAAAAAACCAAAGCAAAAAAAATAAAATTCAGGACAAAAATTAAAAAAGTCAAAACATGGTAAAAATGAAAAATAACTAATTTTTAGGGTAAAAAACAAAATAAATAAATAAATAAATAAAAAGGGGGAGGGTTGTACTTTTTCAACCAAAACGTTGCAGTTTTGGTTGAAAAAGTACAAGATTGACTCTTCTAAAAAGTACAAGATTGGTTGTTCTATATATACTAGTTTAGAAACCTGCTATGCATGTATTAAGTTGTGATTAAAATTTTTATCATGTAAAATATAGACAAATCATATGCAGAAAGAAATCTACTTAAAAAATTGGAACATACTATATTAATAGTAGTTTAAGAAAAAAAAGATTATGTTTAATCATAGAAATACATATGAAACATTATAAATTATAAGATAACAAATAAAAAAAAATGAAAAGTCAACATGGAGTAAAAAATAACCATGCATAACAAAATTTAAAAAAAAAAGTAAAGGTATTCGAAACTTAAAAAGAAAAAGGAAAAAAAAAAAGCAATCTAAAATTACCGTTTGCAGTTTTAGCTTACCATGAAATAAATAATGGCCACATATCCACTCTTATATATATATATAGGATAAGATTTAAGATATTATGATATATATATATGTGTGTGTGTTATATATATATATATATATATATATATATATATATATGTAGAGTTGAGGTACATACGATGCACATATTGAATTGTAATTGACGTTCTTTATAAAGTAGATATAAAATTATGAATAGATTATAAATATTTGATTATGAATAGAAAGTATAAATATAAGAAAATTTTACTCATAAATTCAAAAAGAAAAAGTATTATTTACACAAATAACTTATCGATATATGCATTTGTTTCATTTTGGCTCACTTATCTTTACTTTTACAAATTTAACTAACCAAAGATTAATGAAATGTACAGTTTATTAACTAATTTAATCATGAAATGAATGAAAGAACCTGGTTGGAATAGAATTCAAAATTGATTGCAAACAAAGTGGTTATTCCGATGGAAAAGTTGAAATTTAAGGTTTAAAAAACCCTAAAAAAGAGCGAAAGAGTTAAAATAAATAGAAAATAAAAGGGATATAAAATGAGAAAACGTAAGAGAATATTAGTGTAAAAGTTTACCTTAGAAAAATGGAGCTAAAAATAAAGAAAAAAAACAAAGGAAATAAGGGGGAAAAAGGGTAAATAATGGATTAGAAAGAAAAGAAAAAAATGAGCAAAATGTAAAGTGAAGAAAAGGAAGAAGAAAAAAACAAAAAATAAAAATAAAATGGTGCCTAAAGGACTACTAATGTCCAACAGTGAGCAACTTTCTACTCTTTTAATATAGTTAAGAGGATAGATAGACTAGTTAGAGCATGTGAGAGTAAATTTATAGGGTGCGTTTGTAACTCGTTATAAAATGATTTTATTTTTTTTGTATGAAAATAAAAATGAAAACGTTTTCAATCTCAGACAGAAATCATTTTTTAAAATGCGTTTGGTAATTTTATCAAGAGATTATTTTCAGTATAAAAAAAACCTATTAATGTCGCTCTCTTTTTCTCTCTGCTCAAGAGAGGAGAAAACGAAGTAAAAAATGAAAAACGACTAAAAGTCGTTTTTCATTTCTCTCTCATTTTACACTAAACCAAAAAATCGTTTTCATTTCCGTTTTTTATCTTTATTGCGCTAAATGCCGTTTTGGAAACGTTTTTATTTTTTCTTTCTCAAAAAATGTGAAAAATAAAAATGGGATCAATTCTAAACACGGCCATAGATTCTATCCACTTATAAAAGTTTTGATTTTACTACATTATTATTTTTCTAATTTATTTGATAATAAAGGTTTTAATTAACTCTTAAAAACTAATTAACACTAACTTTATATTTGTGATAATAAAACATTAGGGAAAAGTTATAGGAATTTTAAAGTAAAAAGTAAAAAAAAAATTATGTTGTTTAATATAGAGAAAATTAAGATAAAAATAATTGAAAATTTCATGTAACCATTTCTTAATATTTTTAACTTTTAGAAAGAATAAAACAGAGAAAAAATGTTAGAAATAACACAAAGACATAACACAATAATTCTTCCATTCGTTCTGTTCAGTCACTCATTTGGTATAAAGTGTAATATTAAAATGAACAAAATAATATTTTTGAGGATGAAAAGAAAATTTTTCAATGAGAATGTACTTTATAAGTATTATCGAAAGTGGGATAAAAAAAGAAAAGAATATTTTTAATAAAGTAGATTTTTAAACATTCAACAAAAAAAGAGAAAATTTTAGGACATAAATTTCAAGAAAAAAGTAGGAAAAAAAAAAGACTCAACAAGCCTCAAAACGTTTTTAGTAAATAAGACAAAGTGAAGCCCATAAAAGACTAAACAAGGAGGAAAAAGAGCAAATTATAATCATAATTATTATTAATAATACTACTAATTATGATAATAATAATCATCATCATCATCATAAAAAACATGAAATGATTCAATCAACCACTAAACATTCCTACAAAAAATAAAAAAGTAAAGGTCACAAAAGACAAAATAGAGGGACAAAAGCTTTGGAAATTGAAAAATAAAACTCTCGCTCTTAGATATGTGATAGATAATAGATTATAGATTATTAGATATATAACATAGTAAAATAACTTAGGCGGTGGGAAAATAGTATTCGAAGAGGCTGCTAGAAACTAATGTTTAAATAAGATAAATACTTATAAAGCTTATATTTGGAAGAAATAATATTTTAGAGGACTGTAAAGAGAAATATTAAAGAAGCAGCATAAGTGAGAAATTTTGTTTTATTAGGGAATATTTCAGAAATATTGTTTTAATAAAATATAAGATAGAAAAATAGTATAAAAAAAGGCAGATGTACGTATACATGTTTTAATCAAAATGAGTATTTCAGTCTAATATTATAGACATATAGATAAGTTGAGCATAATCAAGACAAATATTTTTCAATTTCAATGAGGACAAATCATATAGATACTAAATAGGAAGATACTTGTGAAAAGTTTCAAATATAAGAATTTAAGAGACCAAAGCAAAAAAGAAAAGTAAGAAGAAATAAAGCCAAAATAACAATAACAAGCAAAGCATATTTAAAGAAAAATAATTTGGTCAATCAAATGGAATCAAATAAAAATAATAATTAGAAGTACATATGATAAAGAAAAAATATTTAAATGAGAATATATAAGAAAAAATAATTTTATTAAGACAAATTTTAAGAAAATATTTATAAAGACTATTTAAAAATAATAATATTATAAAGGATTACAAGACCAACATATAAATAGAACATATTTTTAAGGATTAATTGTATAATAAAAAAGCTTTTTAATGCTCAAATACAGTTTCAGGAAAAGAAGCATTAATAAAAAGATAGAAAATATATTTAACGAAAGCGCCCACAATAAACTAAGCAAAGACAGGAAAAAAAAATGTAAATGGGAGATGATTTGACTAAATTGTGTAGGAACATCTATTTATTATTTTAAAAGTCTTAAAATGAGCCTCATTATTTATTTTCTAGTAATATGCTCTATTCAAAAATCTATTCTCAAACATACTCCTATTTAATTATTTTTTCTTGCGGTATTCTAATTTTTTTTTAATGTGGCCTATATAAAATTTACAAAATTTAAATCCTAATTCCGAATTTATCAAAATCCTAAATCTACTAACTCTAAGGGCTCGTTTAGTTTGCTGATTCGAGTTTTAAATTCAAGTTGAGATGTGACTTTATGTGAGAGCTTTTTACTGAGTAAAAAAGTTAGACGTGATTATTTTGATAGTTTTTTCCTGTAACAAAACTCAAATTCTAAACTCGAATCGGTGAAATGAACGGGACCTAAAACTACACATTCCTTGATTTCGCGTTGCGCATGTTGTTGCTTTGCTTTGCCCCCATGGAGAAGAACGTAGTTACCCACACGAGAGCAACAACGCTTGCAATGGCGAGCTCAACATCTTGTCAAGAACTTGCAACATCATTCTCAACAACAAAGATCTCGAGGAGCTTTGATGGCAACTGATGGGGTCAGTTCCGGACACAAAAATAACAAGACGGCAGAAGATCTCTATCCAATTACTAAAGAAGAAACCATTTTTTGGGAGGAGATGAAGAAACGTTTCGTCCGTTTCTCCCAAACTAACCCATGTCAACATTTTTTTTTTCCTGGATGATAAAATGATTCGGTGTGGCGTATTTCAGTTCAAAGGCCACGTGTCGGTTGATGATTGGCGGTCTCTGAAAGTGTGATCAACGTGGTGAACTTCTATTCGTTTGCATAAAAGAATGCCCGTGTGTCAACAAATAATTGGATAAAAAACTGACTTCATGTAAAAACGGAGCAGTCAATCCCGCGCAAGCCTTTAGTGGCTGACGTCCCCGCCACGTGTCGTCGTATCATTGGCAAAAGGAAGACGTGGCGGGGCCCACTTGTAGAAAAGCTGTCAAGTTGTCTGTTGCCCCTTTGTCAGACACGCCACTCTTCACGTGTATTTGTTGTATTGATTCGACGGCCATAAAATGTCCAGTTTTATTTATTTTTTATTATTACTACTTATTATACTTATTTATATATTTTAAAGTGATTATGTGGTCTTATTTTGTCCATTTAAACACCATTCTGCAGAAACTTTTTGATACTACTCAAATCAAAATGCTATAAATAATTCAGATAAAATTAAAATTAAACAAAAATACACTAAAATACTCACACCTTGTTAGATAAAAAACAGATTACACAAAACAAAATAGAATTAATTTAAAACACAGTAAAATAAGCGGAAACGTAATAACATAACACTCGCTAAAAAAAAGATAAAAATAAATAAATTGTTGACAAAATGAGAGTGAGAAAATTTGAAAACTTAGTGAAAAAACAACTTGTTTAGTTGTTTATAAATTGTTTAGTCTTTTTTTATTGAATTGTTTATTAAACTTATTAAATGTTCATAATTTATTCCCTTCTTTTCGCTGACCTCGAAAGCGAAAAGTTGCTCCCACTAACACGGACACATTTCTGCCTGCACTGCTCTTCACGCACCCATTACAGTCGTCAATAATCTCAATCCAATGTCTAATATCATTTCTAATTTTATTTTTTACTATTATTTGTTATATTTATTTATTTTGAACTGATTTGGGGTCCATTTTTGTCCAATTTAAGAATGTTTTGTACTAAATTTTTTGATACTACTCAGATAAAAATATTGTAAATAATTCAAATGAAAAAAATCAAACAACAATACACTGAAATAAAATAAATGCATACTAGATTAAATAAAAAACAAATTATAGAAAACAAAATAGAACTAATTTAAAACGCAACAAAATAAGTTAAAAACTTTTTTCCATGTCTTTTGCTTCAGATCTTTTTCTCGCTTTTGTCTTCATTTTGTCATTATTTCCCCTATTCCATTTTTTTAAAAAAAGCAATTTGCATAAATGTTATTTTAATTAGATTACACGCGTAAACAATGCATTAATCTCAATCTGACGGCCAAAATAATTCTCAATTTTATTTTTTAGTTATTATAATTTATTAATTTTATTTATTTTGGACAGACGTATTATCTGATTTTGTCCGTTTTAACACCATTTTGCACCAAATTTTTTATATTAGATGGATAAAAATACTATGAATAATTGTAATAAAAAATTAAATAAAAATTCACTAAATTTTTTTTTTTAAATCACACCAAATTAAATTAAAAACAATTTTTTTTTTAGTGTCTTTTGCTTAAGATCTTTTTCTCACTTTTGTATTCTTTTCTTTTATTTTTTTTTTCTGCTCACACTTTTTTTAAACAATTTATATAACATTCATTTTAAATAAATCACACACACGGAACACGCGTTCAAAATTAGTTTAAGAAGAAGAGGAGCAGTCAAGTGTATAGAAAATTTGTTGTTCTATTTTGCTATTAATTTCTATCCTCCGAGAAAAAATCAAAAAACAAAGTGCACTTGCCTGCTTTTTGCCTTTTCCCACTAAAACATTTTTAGGAAAAAAATAATTACACAGTTTAAAGTTTGTTGATGGCCATTTTTGTATCAGGCTCATACAAAAGTCCGGGCTCAATGATTCCGTCCTGTGACGAGATTGGACTCTATTCATGGACCCAAGCCACGCTCGGGAAACTCACGTGGGCCATGGTTTGGTGAGTCATAGGTAATCGATCGAGCCCATATGTTTCTTAGTCTGATCCGATTTTAAGTCTCGTTTGGGGATTTTAAAATAATTAGGCTAAGGAATGAATGATGGAGAATTCAACCCCAAAATCTTTTGTTTGCCTTTTAGAAACAGTTTCCTCAGCCTTTGGAGACTCGAAAGCCTGGAATTTAAGCTATGGAACCTTCTCCTTCAGCGCCAGACGAGAAGTTTTTCTGCTCTGGAGTAGCTTCTTCCAGAGTTGGCAAGGATTGTCTCTGTAGTAGTTGTTGCTCCAGAGACGTCACTATGGACGCCGCCACGGAGGCATCACCGCATATGCCACCACCAAAATACTTCTCATACTCCAAGAAACTCCTCTGTGACCAAAGATACCTCATATGCTCCGAGAGACTCCCCTATGTCCGAAGGTTCTTCCTGTGCTCCATGAAGATTGAATGTGTAGGGTGCTCCAGCGAAGGCTATTTAGCTAAAATCGAAAGGCGGCACTCTGGAGCTAGTCTGATGTGTGTTCAGACCTCCGAGAATAGCAGCGCCCTTGGAGCACCAAATTCAGTCAAACACTCCATGATCTTCAGACCTGAAGAAGGTCCAATGTTAGCAAGTATTCCGGATTTGGTCTCCAAATACAACCATTTTTGGCTAATTTGTTTGTCAAAGAGGAAAGTCACTTGATGTAGGTACTCCGGAAGGAAATGGTTCTTACATGCCTCTGGTATGGCGTGACTGTACGGTTCCGGAGCAACCACCCAAGACTCCCAAACCTCATCCTATTAATATCCCTTAACTTCTTCATTTCAGGGGACAAACACATTACACTTCTGAGACTCTTTTTGACACACATTCCTTATGAAAGATTACAACTTGAGTTCCTCCCTCTGAGAGTTGTTCTTCAAACTTGTGCTCTTCAAGTTTGAAGTCCTTCATAGAAATTTCACTCAAAAAGTCCCAAAACACTTCGTTTGATCTATCCAAACTCACCTACAAGCTACGTTTGAAGTTTCTGAGGTTTCTTCGGAGGTATGAAAATCCGCCTCCGTGGCTGGACTCCGCCGTCCCAGAGCACACTTCCAAAAAACCATAAACTTCATTTGTTAATACACATTCTCAGAGGCAAGTTGTATTTGTTCTCTGAACACTCCTCTGAAACAATCTTATTCGCACTTTACGAGTTAGACAGCCGCTCCGGAGAAAACCAATGCATGTCCTCAGAGCATTCCTCCTCTAAAACAGCCTTATCCGCACTTTACGAGTCAGATAGCCGCTCTGGAGGCAACCTGTGCTTGTCATCGGAGCATTCCTCCTCTGAAACGGCCTTATCCACACTCGCCGAGTTAAATCTCCATCAACCGTTCGGTTACTCCTCACACCACACTTCGCCCATGCGATCTCCATGACTGAGTTCAACATCTTCCCATGCACATAGTCGAGAGTGCCTCAACAACTTGACAGCAAAGTGGGCCTTAGAATCTGATTACTTCAGCTTACTTTGGGCCTAACCGATCCTTCTTCTTCATTCGAGGTCCTACTATACAAGCTCCTCTGTGAACACCGCATGTTTCGTCCGCGTCAGCATCGACACCACCGAATCCAGTACTTCCATGTATATACCTTGTACACGTCGTGCCCACCGAATCTACCAAGCCCCAACATAGAGGTGACTCCACTGGAGAGATTAAGCCGCCATTATACAATGGCACCTCAAAACAAAAGAACTCGCCTCGCCCATGAATGAATTTCTCAAGAGATGGAGTCAGTTTCGCACCATGAAACTCTCAACACTGACCACCATGAGGAAGGAGAGCACCCCACGATTCCAGATGTCGTGGCCACCTTTGAATCCTCAGAGATTCCAATAATGAGATCCTCTCCGGAGTCAATCAGCTCCGGGAGCGCCTTGACAAAGATGCAGCTCCTGGTCTCGCCGATAATAAAACTCCGCAAAAAGCCTCCGCTACTGGAGCAACTCCAAAGCCTTCGGAGCCAACCAATGTTGGTCCTCTCACTCGTGATGATGTGCTAGCCATCTTGGAACAACACGCGCATAGCAATGTTGGTCCTCGTCTGTGTCAATATCGGTTATTGCACGTGTATACCTTATACACATCGTACCTACCGAATCTACCGGGCCCTAACAAAGTTCAAAAACATATTACAGCCTGTGCACAAGTTCGGAGAAATTTTTTGAAATTTTCCCTTCAAATATTATATCCTTTGAAGAAAAACAAATAGATAAAGAATTGAAAAAGAAAGTAAAATAAAGAAAAGTAAAACCTTCATGTAATCAAATTAACATAGTGCCCTCTGTAAAAACTAAAGAGGAAGATAAAAACTTTGAACGCGCTACATAATTGAACACCTACACTAGCCATTGCACATTAACTGAAATTGACAATTTAATATTCACTATATATATATAAAAAATATATATATATATATATTTTTTTTCTTTTTAAGAAATCAACGGACCATTTCTTTTCAAGTAACTAGTATTCTGTCTGTCCATTCTGTCTGGGAGGGAGGAAGAAAATCACAGCGCATCAGCAGCAACCAGACAATATAGGCTTTCAGAAAAGACTAGTTAGCATTGACACTGCGTTCAAATTTGCTATAATTCAGCACTTCTAATCACAACCGTAAATTTTATCAAATCAGACATCATTTTCTTACTCAAGCACTTTTTTTCCTTCCAGACAGGTAATTTCAACAAGGAAAGTCACGGTCAGGGCTATCTGTATGCATGTCCAAGGAATCATTCGACACGGAAGGATTGGTATCCCTGTTTTGCTGAGGATAACTGTTTATCTCGTTGTTACTACGATGTGCATCGCCGTGAGGCGTGAAATTACCTGAATGGTAACTTCCCTGTGCAGCAAGGTTATAGGATTGAAGACTTCGACGAACAGGGCTAGAAAGGGCATTTGAGAACACTGAATTTTTAGCCCGTTGCTCAGAGTGTCCCCACCGACCTCCCTGCCCAGCCGTAGCTGGAGCAGCTGGAATGGTTGGACCTAAATTGGCCGAGTGCATTGCAGTTTGCAAGTGTTGTTGCTGCAGCAGCGTCCTGGGAGACATTGGAGGCTCCTCAGAACCAAAATCAAGCTCATTCTGCCCACAAAAAAAAAAAAAAAAAAAAAAAAAAAAAAAAAAAAAAGTGAGGTTGCTGTACATTGCAATGCAAATTGATTTTTTTTTTTTTTTATGCACACTTTCCATGCCAGTTAATTATAGATTAAAATAGAAAGTTTTTTAAAGCACAATGAAAATGACAAGCTATTAATTATCACGCCAATGTGCTCCACTTAAGGACAGATAAAACAAATTCATCCTACAAGTACAATTATGAATCCGTTGACTCCTATCACATGGCACCTAATCTTGGGATAAACCACGGAAAGTCATTCAAAACCTTCAAGAACAATGTTCACTCTGGTATTGGGGTATGTTCACTCTGGTATTGGGGTGGCAACGAGGTGAAAGAGAGTGGAGAGAGCAAAGTTAGTGGCAGTCTTTAGTCAGGTATTGGGTAATGGGCACAAGATTTCTCGTCCACTGAAAAAACTGCAAGTCACATAGCATGGCAAAATTTACCATCTTCAGAATGTTATAACAATTCTAATTCTTAACTAATCTGCCACAATTTCTTTGACAAAAGCAGGAAATCAAGAATTTTTTAACATTTAAGTCTTTAAGAGAACAATTCACACACACGTGTATATATATATACATACAAATATATAAATGTATATATATTGTTTCTTTCCAATGTCTTCATTTTTGTACCCAGAAGATGTAGAAACTAAGTATGACATACATGTGTGGCCTTGACTGTTAGCACGAACTTGTACAAATGACATCAGAACCTAAAGATATCTTCTTCCGGTGGAAGTGGACATAGAAATAACCGGTTAAAAATAATCACTACATAATATCTAACCCCCCCCCAAAAAAAAAAAAAGAGAAGGAGATACCTGTAAGTAGGCAACTATATCTACTGTTGTCACTCTTGATCCTTCCTCTTGCTGCCTTACAATCCACTGATAAAGTCTCTCCTGTGTAATGTGGAACGGGGAATTAGAGAGAGAGAAATGTTATGATACCAAGGGAAATTGACTACATGTAGCAGGATGGTGGTAAACCGATAATAAAGTAGACGAGGAATGTGGGAATGGTTTGTCCTGCTGTTCAAAATTCTCAATATGGTTGCATACATTTACGATTTACCTGAACAAACTCTTTGAATAAATCCAAGAGGCATGACCCTATTATTACTTGATACAAAAATCAACTACAATTGAACAAGCAAGCAACTATTTCCAGACACATGAAGCAAGGAAAATATAAATTTTAACCATGAGATAACAATAAATTCATGCAAATTGAAAAATAGAAATGAGTTCGTGATTGAAGAGTGATACAATAGAGAAGGTGGTGTCCAAGTGATACACACAAATGCAGAGGAATTTGTAGGTGTGAAATACTAACAAGCTTATAAGCGAGAAAAAGGCATATAGCTGTAAGCTAATCGACTCAAATCATGTTTGTTGAAGGTCAGCGAGATGGTTAACAAGAACCATTCTTTGTCCTCAAAATTCTTTCATCTTTTTACCCACGTCAAACGTGTATAATCTAGAAAGACACAAAAGTAATATAGAGAAAAAACAGCCATTTAGCATGTCGATATTTTGAATGCATAGCAAGTGTTCTCTGGTGACTACACACCATTTAACAAATAGGTATTTTGAATGCACACTAAGGGCCTGTTCGTTTACTTCAGCTTACTCGAGAAAGCCCACTCAAGTGCTGAAAGTAAGCCCAAGTTCACGTTCGGTTGTGCAAAACTCGAATTGGAACTCGAAAATTAATTCGAGTTAGCAACCGGTTTTTGAGTTCAACTTCCCCCTGCCACTTGAGTTACTTCTCTGCACTTCTACAGTGCATATTCCTGACCCTTCGTTGCTGAAGCTTGCTTTCAGCTCTTCTTTCTACACTGCAAATCACGTGGTTCTCCTGTTAGCGAGATTCGAAATCGTTTGACCATAGTTGTTGGGCCTGCTCCTTCAACGTTCATTCGATTTCTGAAGCCCTCAATCCATTGCGCTATTTTCCCCCAATCTCCAGATTTCAAAATCGTCGCCCACACCATTGACCCCCTTCTGCATGTTTTGTGTCCCCCTTCCTCTACCATTGTCATCGTTACCCCTTCAAAACGGGAAAATTTGTTGGGACTCCGTTGGTGCGGCGACCTCGGTGGGTAAACCTCCTACTTTGATGTAGAGGCAACAGTGCACGCCGTAAAACTCTCCAGCCAAGATGTCAAACCTACTTCCCCTACCTCTGTCGTCGCCGGTACCTCAAACTTGCTAACACTTCCTCGCATTTGAGGAATCTCCAAGGGAACCAAATCTCCTCCTCCATAGGCTCGAATTCGGTAAGTTTTTTCCCAAACCTTATGTTCAATTTATGGAAAATATTTCTGGTGATTTCGGTTTCTAGATCCAATTCCGAGCACTAGTATTGGTGAATTCACATGTTCTTCTTCTGGAAAAAAAAAAATTGGCATTTCTAGTGAAATTTTTTAGTGATTTCCGCCTCTAGACTTCATCGGATCACTTGTATTTTGGAACCCCTTTTTGTTAGTTTCTGGAAAAAAACCAGAAACTGTTTCTAGATGGCATCTCGGTGAAAGCCTATGTTCGTATTATGGAAAAAAACATTGGCATTTCTGGTGATTTTTTCATGTGCTTTCAGCCTCTATACTTCATCGGGGCACTAGTATGTTAGAAACCCTTTTTGTTAGTTTCTGGAAAAAAACCATAAACTGTTTCTAGTGATTTCTCTTCTAGATTGCATTCTGAGAACAGTTTCTAGATGGCATTTTTGCCTATGTTCGTATTGTGGAAAAAAACATTGGCTGTTCTGGTGATTTTTTTGGTGCTTTCAGCCTCTATACTTCATCGAGGCACTAGTATGTTGGAACCCCTTTTTGTTAGTTTCTGGAAAAAAACCATAAACTGTTTCTAGTGATTTCTCTTCTAGATTGCATTTTGAGAACAGTTTCTAGATGGCATTTTTGCCTATGTTCGTATTGTGGAAAAAAACAGTTGTTGTTCTGGTGATTTTTTGGTGCTTTCAGCCTCTATACTTCCTCGGGGCATAGTATGTTGGAACCCCTTTTTGTTCAGTTTCTGGAAAAAAAACCAGAAACTGTTTCCGGTAATTTCAGCCTCTAGACTTCATCAAACGCTGTTAAGTTTATGTGCATACCTGCTAGGTTAGCTATATTACGAACCTTGTTCATCTGTTAAGAATGTTCTCTATACAATGCATCGTTCTATACTTACATTTTATTTGGCATCGCTTTTGAATATTGTTCTCATATGTACATTTGTAAACCCTGATATGCAGTTTCTGGAAAAAAACCAGAAACTATTCCTGGTTTTTTCAGTTTCTAGATTGCAATTCACCGTGGCTATGATGATGTAATTGTATTTAATGGCCTAGTCCCTTATGTCGAGTGATATTCTATGGCTGGTTAATGATTGGTTGCCGGTTTATCCCATTACTCTTCGTTGGTATGGTTGCTTTAATTCACTTTGAATGTATTGCTTGAGCAATATGCCAACGTTAGCTAAACCTTTGGCAGTATATTGGTTGCCGGTTTATGCATAAACTCATGGCATAATGTTCGTTTACTTCGGGTTTAAAGTATATGGGAAAACCTACCACTAAGATTAATTGAACATAAACCTTGGTAGCCTAATTGTCCTAGCCTTGGATAATGCTCCATAATAGGACGATGATTGGCCTTTACACAAATCAAAGCCTCCTTCCAACATCCGAGCTCATTAAATGAATTTTGTATGTTATGTACATACGTATTGCTGCCATTATGGTATTGTCAATACATAGATGGCGAGAATGAGAAATAGAGATGTAAATTGGAGCCCAGAAGCTGAGGAACAACTGCTTAGACGTCTAGATGAGTTCAATTTATTAAACTCTGTCGGTACCACCCCTCACCGAGACAAATACACACAATGGATGGCAGAGCTAAGTGAGCATTTTATCATCCCCCTAACTTGGGACAAAGTCAAACAAAAAGCCAGTAGACTGAAGAAAACGTTTGATGCTGAGTTTCTACTTCGTACTGCCACCGGACTTGGATGGGATCCGATTCAAAAGAAACCCACTTGCACTGACGAGTATTGGCAACAATTTATCAATGTAAGTTTCTAATAGTATATGTCATTTACAAGATGGCGTCCATTTGTTAGACATTCATGTCATTTTTCATTTTAGAAAATAATGGAAGCTTTGGGCCAGTTTGTTACCATTTCTGTTTTCATTTTTCACGTTTTTCGAAGTAAAAAATTGAAAACAAGAATGAAAAACGCGAAGTTTGTGTTAGAAATAAAAAACAAAAATGTTTTTGTCGTTTTGTGGAATTCTGAAAACGAAAAAAATCCGTTTTCATTTTCTGGTTTCCATTTTTGTTTTCTTCTTTCTTCAGCCTAGATCCGTCCTCCCTCTCTCTTCTTCGATTTTTTCTTTCGTTCTTCAACCGACCACTTCTTCCCTTCCATTCTTCAGCCGAGCTCTTCTTCCCGGCCGAGCCCCGGCGTTCTTCTCGCCCAAGAGTCAAAGACTTGTGCCGGCCTCGATCTGTCCTCCCGATCTGCGCCGTTCTCATCTCGCCGTTTTCTCACCGAGGTATGCCCCTAGCCAAAAATGTTTGATGGTGTTTGATTTTCCAATCGATTTGGTTGAGCAATTTCTGATTTTTTTTTTTTCCGTTTTGGTCTCGCCGTTTGATTTGCTATATTCAACCAAATCGGTTGCTAGTTTTCCGTTTGATTTAGTGTTGTTTATTTCTAATTTTCCTATACTTGATCTGATTTGGTCTTTTTTTCCGCTTTTTTTTTCCCCAGAGGCCCCCGTTGGGGCTGATACAGCCCCTGGGAGGCCCCCCCGTTGGGGCTGTATCAGCCCCTCGGAGGCCCCCCCGTTGGGGCTGAATCAGCCCCTGGGGGCTTCCCATTGGGGTTGGCTTGGGAGGCCCCCAATGGAGGCTGATAATCAGCCCCAATGGGGGCTGATTATAAGCCCTGATGGGGGCTGATAATCAGCCCTCATCAGCCCCAATGGGGGCTGATTATCAGCCCTGATGGGGGCTGATAAATCAGCCCCCATCAGCCCCCATCCGCCCCAATGGGGGCTGAAAATCAACCCTGATGGGGGCTGATTATCAGCCCCCATCAACCACAATGGGGGCTGATTGTCAGCCCCAATGGGGGCTGATTATCAGCCCCCATCAGCCCCAATGGGGGCTGAAAATCAGCCCCCATCAGCCCCAATGGGGCTGATTATCAGCCCCCATCAACCCCATTGGGGGCTGATTATCAGCCCCGATGGGGGCTGATTATCAGCCCCGATCCATCAACCCCATTGGGGGTTGATTATCAGCCCTGATGGGGGCTGATAAATCATCCCCCATCCGCCCCAATGGGGGCTGATTGTCAGCCCCAATGAGGGCTGAAAATCAGCCCCCATCACCCCCAATGGGGGCTGATTGTTAGCCCCCATCAGACCCTGTGTGTGTGTCTGTGTGTGTGTATATACTTTACAAATTGACATTTATTTTAATGATGAAAGTGTTATTTTAGATGTGTGATAAGGACGATAATACGAAATGGCCGGCCGCAATTGAGGATTTTTATGTAGAACTGATATACGAAGAGTCAAAGACTGTGATGCAAACATCCACTCTGGACAAAAAAACATGGACGAAAATTGCTAATGAAATAACACTTAAGTTTGGTAAGCATTTCACATCAGACCAGCTTAAAGCAAAGTGGAATAGGCTTAGACGTAGCACGACGGAGTTTAAGGCATTAATTGAAACAACAGGGTTTAGTTGGGATTATGAGGCTAACACTGTCACAGTTGAAAAAGAAGTATGGGATTCATATATGGCGGTAAGTTTTGAGCATTAACATCTTATGTTATATGAAAGAGTTGAATTGGTGTTTGGATTGCACATGAGTATTTA